GGTAGGCCAGGGAGAGGCGACTTTGGCTCCGAGAGGTGGTGGGAAAAATGAGTTCGGCTCATCGTCGCAGCAGCCTCCACAGCCTCAGCCTTTATTGATTCATCCCCAGGACGACCTTGGATGGACGAGTCCTGAGCTGAGTTTTCTTCCTCCTGGAGAGACTAGAGTTGGTAGGGAGCATACTCCTCTTTCTGCGCAGTTCTTTGATATGATGAACATTCCTCATCATCTGCGTCCTCCAACGCCGTAGTTGTATCTGTGTTTTATTTATTTTGACTTGTATAGGTTTTTGCCTAATTGACTCACTTGTTAGACATATTTGTGTATACATATTATTATCTATAATGACATCATTATTTTTGCATTTATTTTTCATTTTTATGCGCATATTTGTGTGTGCAAAAAATTATGATAAAATTAATTTTGCGCAAAAATTTCCGTCATTTTTATTATTAAATGAGGGTATCCAACTTTCTCCCCCAAAAAGAAAAAATGAAAAATAAATTGGATTTGCAACAAACCTAAAAGTAAATTAAGTCTGAATAAATCCAAGAAAAATAGAAAGAAAATATATGAAATTAATATGTAAGGGTATTTGTAGAAATAGATAAAATCGTAAAGTCATTGTACGAGTTCGAATCATAGCCAGAAAAACGCGATTTGTATAGCACGTTGAGGAAACGCTGCAGCGCCACGTGTCGCCACGTGTTTTGCACTGTCACCAAGCGTTGCTGTTGTTGCCAGGCGACAGGGTTGTCGTTTGGCGCTGCAGTGCGCTTACTCCGAGTCCTTTTCGGATTAAACCTGCGTTGATTTTGTGCATAAATAGCCCTCTAATATGCCAAATTTCTGTATAATTCCAACATATTAAACATAATCTTAGTTTCTCAACAAATAATCATGTCTTTAGTTACTAAAAGTTTTACCAATTTCACTCGTGAATGGTGTCGGTCTTTAACTGCTAAAGAGAGAAAAGAACTTGACTTTTTTCACATGGGAGGTATTTATGGTGTTAAGGGGGTAGATCTTGATATAGATTTATTCATACCGCCTTAGAATATTGGGACACAGATACTCATTGTTTTAGACTACGGTGTGATGAAATTAGCCCTTTACCGGAAGAATTTGGTGCATCTTAGGCTTCCCTTCATTAGATCTTGCGGTAATCCCTAGAATAAATGAATATTATTATAAAGATTTCAAGCGCTTCTTTAATTTAAGAGACAAAGATCTAACAAATATTGTAGATGGTAGTGTAGTTAATTTAAAAGAATTTGCACGCCATTACTTTGATGGTAGGACTTTTCTCTTTTACATGCTTAATCAATATCTTTTCTCTAGTGGTAGAACTAATGAGGGTCAAGCAATTATATTAACTGTTTTGGAGCAAATTGAATCTGGAAGAAATCCAATGCCATTAATTGTTGGAGAGACTATGCTTAGTCTTGATGAATTGAAGAAAAATCCAAAAACACCTTTACGGGGTTCTCCAATTTTATTATAGGTAGAAAAATAATATTTTTAATTACAGAAATCAAAAACATATTTTTATATAGTAATATTAATTTATTTGCATTGAATTTTTGCAGATATGGCTAATGGAGAGACTAGAATTGATTAGTCCTCCTGACAATGTTGAAAAATATACTCCAAATTTCTTTGTGAGGCGAAATAAACACTTTTCTAAGATGGGGTGCCATGAATGGAATAAAGTCTTTGCCTCTTGCAACTTTGCTATCAAGTTGGTCATCCCTTGGTGGAAAATAGAAAAGATGGTTGGTGTCAACAAGCAACATTTCTGTTGTCTTCCAAGCTTAACCAAGATGACTTTTTATTATTTCTCCAGGGTAAAAAGACAAAACAGTCTACTTCAAACAATTCCTTCTTGGGATCTTCGTCGTCCCTACGAATTCCTTGTTTCACAAGAAGCAGAGAAATTCGACGCATGGAGCGCTAGACCTTTACGGGAAGTGATTACCCAAAAAGTTCCTCCTTCCTTTCCTAATGATGTAAAGAGGTGGCTTCTTAAGAAGCCTTCACAGGACATGAAGAAAAATCAGAGTAAAACAAATATGAAGAATCGTCTAGGTGACAAAGTGATTCCTGTTAAGGAACGCTTGGGGTGAAAAGATTGAATTCAAAACACCTATGATGCCTAAAAAGAAAGACCCTACAAAGGATAAAGGGAAAAGAAAAGCTGACAATTTAGAGAAGAAGGTTTGGGTAGAGAAAAAACATGGAGTCCTAGATAAGGGAGAAACCATTTATTCTAAAATTGAATGTAGGTCCTCTAAAGGATGCCTGCTAGCTAAAGTCATGGACGATGAAGAGGATTCAGATAAAAATTGGAAAATAGCAAAGAAAGAGAAGAAAGATTGAAGCATCGCTTAACTTCCAATTTATTAGACTTAGTTTTAAATTTAAAGTTAATTTGTTTTATTTAAGCTTTTATTTAAATTCCATCAATAATGTAATTTTTATTTTATTTTATTAATGAAATTCCAGCCTTTTAGTTAAATTAACTTCTTTAAATTTAATTTATTAAAGCAGTAAAAACAGAAAATTTTATTTTCAAGAAACTTTTCGAGTACAGAAGTCGAAAATTTCCGAAAAACACCAAAATTTGCCTAGGTACTCCCGAAAGAGTGGCGCCGCCGTTTTGCGGCTGTTGCCGTCTGTCGCCTAACGTTGCAGTCTGTCGGCCGGCGACAGACTTCTCTCTGTGACGCTGTTGTTCCTTCGAATATTTGTTGAATTCCTTTTTATTTCTGGGATGCGAGGTTTGTGAAAATTAAAGTGGTCGCACGCCCGCACCTTGGAAAGGGTTGCCTACGTATCCTTTCCTAAGGAATCAGGTCAAACGTAGCTCTCTTGAGTTTCCTACTCAAGTAATTATGGGTAGTACTTTTTAAGTTGGTCAAGGCTTGTCATGTTTGAGAACTCATTGCCATCCATGTCAGTTAGTTTTGCTGCACCTCCTGATAGTATTGTTTTGACAATATAGGGTCCAGACCAATTAGGCCTAAATTTGCCTCTTGGATCTAAAACATTTTTCCTTAATGCTTTGAACACCAAGTCTACTACTTTGATGTTTCTTGTCTTGACCTTATTAAAATGTCTAGCCATACGTACGAGTTTGATAGCATTGGGTATGATGTAGAGCTTCTAGTCGTTTTTCATCAAGTATAATTTGCTCTTCATATCTTTCTCTAATCCATTCGATTTCATCGAGTTTATTTTCTAATGCAATGCATAGAGATGGTATCTATAACTCTACAGACTGTACGACATCCATTCCATAAACAAAGAAGAATGACATATGTAGGGAATATTTCAAGCGTTAATCCCCTAGCTTGAACCCCACTGTGATCATACACTAAAGTACGGTGGCGTCCAAAGGGAAAGAAAATAGAGCAAAAGAGTCGCCAACAAGTTTTTAGGAACTTGTAAATCGTTCACGAGGTAAAGGTTACACCCCTTAACAATCCAAGAGATCGTCAACTCCATAAGGTCTTGAACCAAATAGGGTTCGGGGATGAAGGTACAAAACCAACCTAAAATAGATTGAACCAGCCCTAATAATAGGCCTCTACTTTATTCTGATCGTATTCATGTGCGCTTTCTGACTAACATGCAATCATTAGGATTAACCCTAAACCTGTTTATCTATGTTGGTTTAATATTAATGCACAAATAAATCTATTATTGGCGATCACTTGAATTATAATCAAATTAACCCTAAACAAGATTATTAATTATCTTATTAAGCGTGATTACAAGTACAAATTCCCTTTAAACATGCATAAAAGGCGTGATCAAGCAATAACAATAAATATCAAGCAACATGATAATAAGAATAACAATTATAAAAATAATCATAATATTCATGTTAAAGCATAATAATAGCAAGATCCTAGACATGATACTAACAAGATTAATAACAAACCCTAGCATGTCACTAAACAATAAAAATCATATATTTAGCCCTAACATGATACTAACAATCATAAATATTATGAAGAACATAAAAGGCATCATACTCTTAATCATGCTTAATATTAAAGTCACCCTAGACATGATACTAGGAATATCATAATAACAACCTAAGCATGATATCTACATCATAATATCAATTAAACCATTAAAGTACTTACTTGGATGGCTCGTGACTCTTTCTAATAACAAAATACACACATTAGTAACTTCAAGGAAAATAATAAACAACAATTAAATTAAATAATCACTGGTAGAAAAAGTACTATTTATAACTGGCGAAATTGAGTTTTTGTAACTGGCATTGTTGGTTGCGAATGTCACCGTTAAAACTAGTGAAAATTATTCGTAACCGGCTCATGTTAGTTACAAATAATGTATTGTTCGTAACTGGCATAACCCAACGCCAGTTACAAAAAGTCTATTTTCCAGGTGAGAAATCACACTATTTGTAACTAGCATTAAGTTACGTCGGTTACAATAAGGGTATATTCGTAACTAGCATAACCCAACGCCAGTTACAAAAAGTCTATTTTCCAAATAAAACAGTACACTATTTGTAACTGGCATTAAGTTAGTTACGTTGGTTACAATAAGGGTGTTATTAATAAGTGGCAAATCATAACGCCGGTTACGAATATATTTTTTACTTTTTAAAAAAAAATACTATTAGTAACTAGAATTAGATTACGCCAGTTACTAATAAATATATATATTTTTTAAATATTTGATTCGAATACAAAAATGGTAGTATATCCTACCAAATGACCCATCGTCAAATGGGTTATAACCTGTTACAATTCAACCAAAAAAACACGTACTGCGAATACTTCCATACTTCCATACAATACAAACACTCTAAATAGTTCCGCACAACTCGAATTATTCATCCATAACCATACAATACAAAAAAATTAATTATACTTTAATTTCCAAAAAACAATTAAACTTGAATTAAAAAAGCATTGATTTATAATTTAGAAATGTAATAACAATAACCAATAGGCTAAATAAAATTAAAGTAGATATATAAAAATGTGTTATATCATTTTATTAAGCTAAATGTGATAAATCATAACATCAATTAATAAGATAACTAGTCTTTCAAAAAAAAATTAAGCCTAAAAAACTTACCCCATTGTTCTCGAATCTCATCCAATTCTACATCGTTGTAGGCTGCAAGTCTTGCCAAATACTCCTGAAAAAAAAAACGTGTATATATAAGTTAATAAACTCTCTTTGAAATAGCCATGGTATGTCTCCAACCATCTGAGATCTGAATAATCAAGCAAACCCAAAAGATGCATAAGTTGACTTTAAAAAAAAAAAACTACATATCACACAATGCATACTGTAGGCAAAGACGTAGTTAGATCTAAAATGCATTAGTAGAGAGGCATAGCTCATAATGTCTGATGCAAGTTGCCACATTTTCAAGATACAAATAGCTAGACTTTACTCTGGGTCCTTCCCAATACTTTAATCAAGGCACCACTAGATGTAAACATATGACATGAATAAAGAACAAGTATCTTGAATAATATAAGTTAATAAACTCTCTTTGAAATAGCCAGAAAGGCAGAGATTCAATCTCATTACAAAGCAAGATGATAACACATGGATGACTAGAATCTTATGGTTATTGAGTAACAGGTAATCAACAAGCCTCTTGCCAAATGAAAAGAAAAGTGTTTACCATCTACTCTGCAAAACAAGTTGCGACAGCTTCCCAACCACTCAATTCTATTTCATCTTTACTTCTCATCTCATGGTTAAACGTATGTTTCAAGTGCTTTTGTGGCACAAGTTTACAGGTAAAGCGGAGATAGTGTAGAGCAATGAACCTATGCATGATTGATCTACAAGTCTACTAGTCAAATACTTTATAAAAAAATAAACTCCTTATACAACTATACCAGAACAATATCAGAAGGTCATAACTCATAATGACATAATTGCATGTCTCTACTCTCTCAAGTCTACATCATCGGACAGCTATTAAAACCTTCCTAATATTAGATTCTGAAAAAAAAAATCTAAAGATAGTGTTCATCCAGTTGTTAGCAAGTAAATTCAAGAAGAATTTTAATCACCAGACAGCAAATTCAAGATAGAGTTAACATAAGACTTTTGGACAAAGGAAAAAAGGAGCACTCATTAGTTCATTCAAATATGTAGAGCTTGCAAGTCATTGCGAGACAAAAGTAAAGGTCACAAAGTTTTTAGCATACATCAATTGACGAAGATATCTCGGGAACTAAGCGATCCTTTCTGTCACCTAACCCCAAATTTCCGTATCGGCCCCATCCCCAGCCATACACCTCACCAGGCTCCGTGACAGCAGCACTATGCTCAGCACCAGCAGCTACCATTTTCACAGGTATTCCCTGGAAATAAATAAAAGCTAAAAAATTCAAAAACAACAAAATAATAATGTATCTACAATTTTTCAAGTCAGAACTCAATTAAAATAAAATGTATCACAACATGCCCTTCTAATAAATAAAACAGAAGTTCAATATATGAAAGTGCAGTTCATTGGAAAGATTATTTATACCTGGAAAGCTTGAATCTTTTGTGGGATAAGAGAATCCTCAGCAGTTCCAATACCAAGCTGGCCTATTTTGGTTCCTTCCCCAACTTCAATTAATAAAAGACACAAGCAGGTGATACATCAGTCAATCACATATCCTTCATTAACAGATTTGCTCATCGGTACAAAATATCCTTAAACTCATTAGATACTAAATGCTTAAACTCGCACAAATTTCTATATATTCAAAAAAGAAAAAGATTAGGACGCCTAGGGGATCCACTATGTTTCATAAGATGTTGTAGCATGGGAATAATCACACATGTATTGAATGAAAATTTACTAAATGCAAATGACCCAGCTCACATCTCTGAGTGCGGGTATGTGTGTGAGAGAGCTGCAGTAGTCCTTCGTTTGACAAATCAGCAGAAAATAAGCAACTTGACAACACCACTCTGATTGTAACAAATTATGTATCATAAATGGGAAAGAGCAATAGTTTAGTTCAAGTTTTTCTAGAAACTTGACAACACCACTCTGATTGTAACTAATGAAAACAGATTAGAAACCAATGAATCAGGTCAGTAAGTTCAAGTAGTAAGATTAAATCAGATGATGATCAATCATCAAAAGTTCGAAATGATCATTAATTCGTAATAACAATGAAAAGATGTCATCATTCTGATCTGAAAACACCAGAAATTGACAAATTACAGCCCCTAACATCAATTAAATGAGTAGCCTAATTCTTCAATTAGGTCAAAATAATCTTAAAACATATCAAAAATTGAGAATTCACACTATTTTCTTACATAATGAAAGCGCTGAATTCTTCCTAAGTCTATAGGGCTGTAGGGTTTTATAGTCAAGCATAACAAATTTATATACTAGCAGTCTTAACATCACATGGTCATGAACAATTTCTGGAACAGTCAGTAGCACAGGGCACAAACAAAGCACAAGCAGAACAGCCACATGACAACAGCAACTAAACGAAGCATAATGCATAATGCATAATTTTCATGGAATCAAACAAACCAACCAAAAAGGCCTGACATACTCGGCTAGTGTACCCCAATTACACAAAGCAGTTCAGAAACAATAATCGTTTCTTAATTTTTTTTGTTCGAAATTATTCATCAAAACCTAATTTCCTTGGTTTTTTAATAATCCAATTTCATTAAAAATTAATCAATTAATTGAAAACAACAACAATCAATTCGAATTTACATGTAAAAACACCAATTCGAAAGTAAAATAACCCTAATTCAAAAGGAACACATACCTCAAACTTTGATAAAAATCCTCTAAAGCTGATCCCAAATTCGAACAAACCAAAACAACAATTAATGGAGAGAGATGCAGCGACAGAGAAGGAAGAGAGGTGAAGGAGAAGGAGGAGCAGTGAAGGGGTGAAGGAGGAGCAGTCGTGAAGGGGAGCGAATTGAAAGTGTTAGTTTTTTTTTTATTTTTTGCGAATTCTGAGTATGTAATAGCGGCTACCTTTTTTTTTTTTTTTTTTTTTACCTTTAATCAAAATTTAAATGAAATTACTTTTCAAAAAAAAAAATTAATGAAAAATTAATAAAATTAAGAGAAAGTATAAAACTAGAAACTTTCCTTAAAAAAAAAAAAAAAAAAAAAACCTAGAAACTTAATATTTGTTGGTTTAAAAAAAACAAAAATTATTGTTAGACTTATTATTTATAACCAGCGTTTTTAAGCTAGTTACAAAATTTTTACTTTGACTTATTATTTGTAACTGGCATTTGTAAGCTAGTTACAAATGTTTTGGTCAACTTTTCTTTGACTTGTTATTTGTAACTGGCATTTCTAAGCTAGTTACAAGTATTTTAGTCAACTTTTTTTGACTTAATATTTGTAACTGGAGTTTATAAGCTAGTTACAAATGCTTTGGTCAAACTTTCTTTGACTAATTATTTGTAACTGGCGTTTGTAAGCTAGTTACAAGTTTTTTAGTCAAATTTTTTGTGACTGAACATTTGTAACTGACATTTATTTAGTCAGTTACTAATAAAGTTTCAAATAAAGATACACCATATATTAGTAACTGACATTTACTACGTTGGTTACTATGTCATGGAATTTGTAACTGGCATTATCTTAGTCGGTTACTATTGATGCTTCTGTAACTAGCATAATATACGCCAATTACTAATAGGGCGTTACAAATAACATTTTTTCTACAAGTGAATTGAAATAAAGATTTGGGACCAAACCCTTAGAAATTAAACCTTTCACGTCTAGGGCGAAGGCAACTTTGAATATGGCTAGGTGTATCTAAATCTAATGAATGCGGAATTTTCATATTTGAGAGAAGGCTAGTTTAGAAAAGAGAGAGAGAGAGTAATCAAGAAAATCTTGATGAGAGTTGGTGCTTGAAAACGGGGTTTTAGGAAGCTATTTATAGAGAAAATCAGCCAAAAAGATAAACATCAAAACAGATTTCTGGCGGGTGCAAAAGCAGGTTAGCGCCAAACGCTGACGTTAGCGCCAGGAGTTAAGTCTAGCGCCAGGCGCCAAGCGTAGCGTTAGACGCTACAGCTGGCGTTTGGCGCTGACTAAGAAATCGACGCGTTTTCTTAAAATCAGATAGAAATTGTCGTACAGGAGGATAAAATCATATTTTCCTCAAAAAACGTTCTTTTATTTTGATTAAAACTCTAAAAAGTTAACAAAAGTCAATTTATCAATGCTAATTGAATTAGGAATGAAAAGAACCTTCTAGAAGAATCTATAAGACTAAAACCATTCCTAATTGTATTAGGAATGATAAATCCATATTAGGCCCTCCTCTAGATCATTGGGTCGCATATAAGGCTCAAACCGGGCCCAGTTTGGTAATTTGGCTATAACTTCCTCAATATTCATCGGAATCGGGTTTATAATATATCGTTGGAAATCTCTTTTCAAGCCCTATCCAACTACACTACTATTGGGCCCATATCATGGACCAACCAAATTGGATTGGCTGTTTTCTTTAAATAGGTTTTCAAAAACAGAGAGAAGAGAAGTGAAATTAAAACTATCCGCAACACTAAACTTTCCACACTTTCACTTCATTCGATTATGATTCGACGTGAATGGTACTCATCACTGGGTTTGGTTTTGGGGAGACATAAATGGGTGTCTACAGAAGTCCCCACTTTGACTGAGTTTGGAGAAACGCAAGTTTCGAAAACAAAAGTCAAAGTATCGATAGGGACGGAGAATGATTCAGAACGTTCTGCGATCCTAAATCATTCTTGTAACGCCGATACCTGCAAACTAGCGTTAGTTAAACAGATAAAAGTGTTAAGAAACGCGTATCTTGCACCGTCGAGCACACGACTCTTAAAGTAATCGATTCGTTGCTGCTTTATTTTTTGTTTTGATGACCTCCTGCCAAGAGAATGCCATCCCGCTTGAAAACCGCTACGCTTGTAACTGTCTCCAATATCGAAGATTGTTTCGCTTGAAACGATCCTCTTCCGCTTTGTGACCATCTTCCACATCTTAGGGAACAAGATCAAAGACAACTTCGCTTGTAATCATCTTCAGTTGTTTTTTGACAACCTTCCACAATCTAGGAAACGCTGCCGAAGATATCCTCGCTTGAAGCTATCCTCATTTGTTGCGATAATTTTCCAAAGGAAATTACCGAAGATCTCCGCTTGTCGATCTTTAAAAGTTCGCTTAAACTTTGCTTCCGCTATGCCTGTACGTCGGCCCTTTTGCAACTTTTGAACCTGTATGTCGGTACCTTTTGTTGAATGAATGAACCAATATGTCGGTGCCTTTCCGAATGAACCAGTACGTCGGTGCCTTTTGCGATGAGCCAATGCTTAGGCGCTTTAAGCTAAGTGAGGCGATCTTTCATTAGGTCGATCACTTTGTGTAATCAAGCCAATTACTTAAAATCGTGTCAAATTGCTTAGAGAGGCTAATTGGCGTACCAAGGAACACAAAATATATTGCAAAAGGTTAGAACAACCGTACTGAGTGGCTGAACATTCTGGCGACGCTGAAATAACATCAGCGCCAATAATCTGGCTTTAGCGCCAGACGCTGGAGCTAGCGCCAGGCGCTACGCCTATCAACTGACGCCAAGGTTTGGCGCTTGGCGCCAAAGTTGGTTTTTCCTTAAATACCCTTCTCTTCTTCATTTTCGCTGCTGCTCGTCGCGTTTTTTACTTGAGAATTCTCAGAACTTCATTTGCTTCGTTCTTGCTCGTTTCTAAGCCAAATTCGCTCAAATTTGTTGCAAATCAAAGCTAATTCCATCCATTTTCCCGATCTACGTAAGTTTTCTTCAAACTCACATTGGTTTTAATGAATTTTGCATGTGTTTATTCTCAAATTTCATGAAAATTCAAAACTTCGAATGCTTTATTCTCTTTGTTTGTCAAATTTATGCCATGTGTTTCAGGTGTTTTTATCCCTTGGGAGAGTTACAACACTGAAACTGGGTTCAGCAACGGACGCTTGTACCTACAAAGCAAACGGGCCGCTGGATGGTCGGTGGTCCACCTCCGAAGATTAAGTTAGTAAACGTTCGGTAATAAAACGTGCGGAAGTAAAGTTATCTGCTCGGATTCCAATCTTAGGTAAAGTGCTGTCTGTTCCTTGAAAACGATAGCTCTGTAATAAATGTGAAAGTGACGTGTTGTCTCGTATTGCGTGTCTATCTGTCCCGTCATAAATGTAAGAATGTCCCTATTTATAGGGTCCTTTTGGAAAGTGTGCCCTCCCTAGGATCTGGTGACCTAGGGATTAGGTCACGCCGCAAAATGGCGCCTTAAGGTTTGGGCCCTTGAAGGCCGCCATTTCAGAGGCAATGCCTGGGTGACACGTGTCACTGAGCCTAAAAGGCCTTTGGGCATCTTTTAGGGTGACACGCGTCGCCTTTTGATTGGTCCATTCTGGATCATCAATCTGTTTAGGGCAGAAGTATGTCCGCCCTCCATGTGTCATAACTCAGAGGTCTAAATGGCACCTATACTGAGGACACATGGCAATCTCTGATTGGGCCACCTGGCCGGGTAAAAATACCCAAATCATTTGCCCCTCACAGGTGTCACGTGTATTGCACGTGGCACCTGTGACAGGTGTCTTCATCTGACTGGTTGGATTTTCAAATTGTATTTTTGGGGGGAAAAATTAGGGTTTCCCCTTTATAAATAGGGGGGTTTGACTTCATTTTCGTTTTCACACCTTTGTGAATCTTTTGGAGAATCTCTCGACTTTTGACTTTCAAAGACTCTCAAATACCCTAACTTTGTCAAGCATCCGACGCTCGACTCTTCTGTTCGACTGCTTTAGCCAACCAAGCGTGTCACAAAACCTTCTTCTAAGGTAACCGCCTGCTCTTTTCTTTTATTTTTTTCTTGTATTTTTCATTTATTCAAATGGTTTCCCAAATGTACACGGCACGGCCTAGGTTAGCGATCAGCCGGTCACCGGGGACGGCTGAATCTAGAACTAGGAGTGTCGAATGCTCGTTCGAGAACTTTCCTTTAAGTACATCTCCAAATACGACAATGTATGTGCATCTGCAGGACACGATGGCTCGAACAAAGTAGACAACGAGGAGATATAGGCCGGATGGTTCCTTTTGCCATTCGGATAGTGAGACTCCAAATTCAGACGGCTCCATTAGGGTGCCAGTTAGCGAAATTTCTGAGCACCCCCCAAACCCTTCTTCTAACCTTCCCCAAACTCTAACATACTACTCTCCCCCTTCTTCAAGCGGCACCCCTAGTGATACTATTCTAAGGGAAGCCGACAGTCAGTACTAGTCCGAGCCTTCAAAACAGGCGTCGGAGGAGAGTCTAGGGGAGGACCCTGCTGGCCCTAGCCGGCAGTCCCTTAGCTCCGGGGAAAGTTCCGATGACGATTCGGCCTCGTCATCTTCTGATAGCGCCCCAGTTAACTCAGAGGAAGCCCGAGCAAAAATAGAAACTGCAAGGGAATCCTTGTCAGTAGAAAAAAGGGGAAGTCTGGGCGGAGCCGAGTGCTTCCAGGCGCTTGGAACGCACCCCCTACTATCACCATGTTTCGCAAAGCAAGCGGACCTCTATGAGATCCGGTCTTTCCAATTTCAGGCGCAAGACCGTTATGGGGCATGGCTTTTCCTTGTCTGTCCCCAACAAGGATGATACTATAACCTGGCCCTCCCTGGCCAGTTATAAGGACCAAGGCTTCGGCTGCTACGAGGCAGTCCTTCAGGCTGGTTTACGCTTCCCTCTTCATCCGGCCGTGGAGAGGATTTTGGACGGATACCAGCTGGGTATCTGGCAACTTGTACCGAATTCCTGGATTAATATCATCGGGTACGTTGCTGCATGTGAAATGTTGGAGGTGGATCCCAGCTTTGAGGCATTTGCCCACATGCACTATCTTAGCCGAGCGCCTGCCAAGGGCAGCGAAGGCTGGTACACCTTGTCCACCTGCAAGGGGTACATGATGGCAGTCGATAAGGAGAACAAATGGAAGGACTGGAGAACAAAGTTCTACA